TTAAAAATTGCCCAATGTGATGTCGTCACGTGGTACAATGTCACATTTTTTGTCAAAGTTAGTGTACTTGTAGCATGATTGATTCAAAATTGGGGCACCAATATCCTCGGCTAATGACAAAATATTTATTTGAACATTAAATAACCGACATATATGTGATGTTAGATTGAAATGTTCAAATTATCCAATAAAAAGATGAGAAAGGCTAGGTGTACCGGGGTGGGTGACAAACACCCTTACCGGCCTCTCACAACACAGGGGGCCCACATTTTTTTTTGAATTTTTTATTCATGTGGGGCCAGCATGATATGAGAATTTGTCAACTTTTTTGTCAAATTATTTTTGTACAAGTAGGATAAATCTAAAAAGATTTCTCTTATTCCAAAATAAGTCAAACAATGACTTTAATTTTTATTAGGGTAAAATTTCTCAACTTTCATTAAATACATTCCATTGTATCAATTCATCTTGACACTATACGAGTGTCAAGCGATCATTTAACGTTCAAATAAACATCTTGGTTAGTTAACAATGTGAGTGCTTTGATTTTAAAATGAATTTTAGAGATAAGTATAATAAATAATAGCTGAGGACGTAAGTACCATGCTTACAAAAGATCGATTTGCAATACAAATTTAAAAAGAAAATAAACTAAAAAAGAGAAGAAAAAAATAGGATAATAAGGGTAAAGTTTGGGCTGACCCGAAATAAAAAAATACGGGCACACTGAGACTGGGTAACCAAGTTGGCGGGTTCAGATTGGTTTGAAAGGGCAGAATTGTAAATTTGAACATTAGAAATGCTAGCGAAATTTCTTGGGCGTTGCGAGAAATACAGAATAGAGATAAACCAAACCACAATTTGGAATTGCGACCTCTCTCTCTCTCTCTCTCTCTCCCTCTCTCTCTACCCTCCTCCTCTGCCATGGACAACAAAGCTCAGCAGTCATCAGGTCGGTACAGATGATTTTCAATTGGATATGTATTTGTTTCTATTAATCAGTATTGTGGTTTATTTAATTCCTTTTATCACTTTTGTTATTAGTTAACCTGTACCTATGGCTGTAAGTGAGGTTTTTGATATTTGATTTGGGGAAAATTTGATAGTTATTTTGATCTTAAGGTTTTTCGAAATATCGGATCTCCATCTTCTGCTTGATACATCTTGGGGTAAATGATAAATTTCATACTATTTTGGGTTCCTCGGTACATAATGATGGCACACCAATGATCAATTTTTGCTGGGATTTTATTTTTCATTGTAAGAGAATTATGTCATCTCCAAGTCTTCGAAGATTTAGGTGCGAAAGTTGCAGTTATCTGGCTCTTCGAGGGTGTAAAACCTCCCAAATTCAAATGTCAGTTCGAATGCAGAAATTTAGTATCTTGTTTTTATCCATCACAAGTTTTATTTATAAAAGATTCAGACAGTTATCCACACTCCACGTCACTTATTTTTGAGTCCTCAAATCGGCCTCATCTTTGTAGATTTGGCTTCAATTTATAATAACACATGTGACTCTTGAGTTGCACATTAAT